AGACAAAGGTTATATAATGCAACCGGTGCTGGAAATGGCACAACTCCCAATCTTATGCTCGCCACCCCTGCTGCCGCCTCTGTGGCTCTACTCAGCATATAGAAGAGGGACACACCAACTGCTGCGCTGCCCAATCCCCTCATAACTGCCCCCCGAGATGCCTACACTGTCACGGCCCACACCCGGCAGACCATATGGAATGTCTTCTCCAGCCCAGCAGGACAGGCACTACATGCACTAAGGCCCAGCAGGCTGAGATCCGCAAGACTGGCTCTCTGAACCTAGCTAAAGCTCGCATGGAGAGCAACTGCTGCACACAAACTCCCGGGACCTCCCAGGATCAGACTATGGCTATGGACAGCGAACTTACAACACTGCCATTAGCTCAATTGATGGCCTCTCCCTTCTGTGCAACAACCCCTCCACCTTATGTACCCACAGACTCTCCTCCAGTCACAGCTCAGGCAGTCCGCTTTATAACACCTAAACCTCAAAACCAGTTTGACATTCTATTAAATGAACAACTATGATATATCGAACTCGCTTAAATACGGAGACACTTTCGATGCTCCAGCTAAATGTAGGCCGCGGGCCAGCAGCTCATGAAATTGCCCTCTCCCTGGCATACTCTAGGGGCATTGATATCATCCTTATACAGGAGCCATACATATACACTAACCTCAGCCAACAAATCACAAAAAGGCACCCATCATATGAGTGCTTCTCCCCAACAGACAGCTGGGTTGTAAGCGGTCGACCCCGGGTACTCACCTATGTCCGGAAAAAGATGGGCATTCGGGCCTCTCAGCTCCGCCCTCAGCTAATAGATCAGGATGTTCTCTCAGACCTTCTTCTACTACAGATTCTCTCCCGCTCTGGACAATCTGCCTTGATAATCAACATCTATAACGCTCCAACCGGCTCAATCAGGTCAGGTGAGGCTGCAAAAGCGCTTACACTTCTGCCTGACTCCTACTTTTCTCAGCCTACCGTGCTTTCCGGCGACTTCAACCTACTACATAGCAGGTGGCAGCCATCACTGCATTGCAGCCCTACCACCTTCGCTGAGCCATTTGTTGACTGGCTTGATCGCCTAGGGCTGGTTCTTATCTCCGAGATAGACCAGCCTACACACGATAGAGGCAACGTTCTTGACCTCACTTTTGCCTTGAGCTCCCTAGCACTAGCAGGAACAAGCACCAGGATAGCAAGCCATTTAGACTCAACATCAGATCATCGGCCACTTCTCACCACCATACCATGGAGCCAGAGATTCACGGAGGCGGCCCAGAAACTGAGATTCGATACATTAGACCACCCTCATTTTCTCTCACTTCTCGCCTCCAATATAGATGGCATCGAGGGCTCAGCTGCAACAGAAGAAGAACTGGACAGCCTCGCAAGCAAGATCACCTCAGCCATCTGTGGCGCATACAGATGTACTGGTCCGCAACCTCCTTCAGAACACTGCTGAAGTGGGCGACGTACCATTAGACATACCGGCAGTCCCATCTAACAGTCTGCCATTCCCAGACATAACAATGGCACAGATAGAGAAAGCTGTTCTACAAGCAGGGAATACAACCCCTGGGATAGATGAAATACCCACCTGCATACTCAGAGTGGCATGGCCTTTGATCAAGGACAAGGTATTAACACTCTATCAGGGCTGCCTCACGATCGGCTACCACCCTAGATGCTTCCGACATGCAGTCCTAGCCATTATTCAAAAACCCAAGAAGACAGATTGGTCCAGCCCCAGGTCATACTGGCCAATCGCCCTCCTGTCAGTCCTTGGCAAGGGCCTTGAGCGCCTAGTGGCACGAAACATGGCATGGATCGCTGTCCATTATAAGGTCTTAGCAAGCCAGCAGTTTGGAGCCCTCCCTCTTCGGTCTGCAATTAATTTAACCACATTCCTAATACATGACGTGGAGCAAGCACTGAACGAGGGAAAAACAGCCTTACTACTCACTCTTGATGTTAAAGGAGCCTTTAATACAGTCCTTCCTGGGAGACTGGTCTACAGACTACGCTCACAGGGATGGCCTGACAACCTCGCTCATTGGATCACCTCCTTTGCCACCGGACGCTCAGTATAAATCCGGCTTGACAGTGAGATTGGCCTAAGGACAGACATTTCCTGTAGTCTGCCGCAAGGCTCGCCAGTTTCCCCTATTCTGTTTATGCTATACCTAGCCCCCTTATTCCGACTAGGTAATCCAAACTCCAGATTTGGCTACGCGGATGACGCAGCTATACAGGCAACCTCTCCATCACTTGACACTAACTGCCAAAACTTGTCAAACTCCCTACAAGAAGCCCTTAATTGGGGCACTGCAGAGGGAATCTCCTTTGCACCAGACAAATATGAAATTTCTCACAACACAGGACTGACCAAGATCCTAGCTGTACCCCTTCAGTAACAGCCAGACTGGTCACAGTCTCCAAAAACACAACCCGCCCATTTCTTCGCTGGCTAGGGGTTCTCTTCGACAAAAAACTTACCTTTAAGTGGCACGTCAAAGAAATGGCCTCAAAGGCCTTGATAGTGGCTAACGCCCTTCGTTGCCTTGGAAATACAGTCCGGGGAATCAAGCCCTACCTTATGCGGCAGGCCGTGACAGCTTGTGTCCTTCGCAAAGCATACTACGGTGCTGAAACCTGGTGGCCTGGTCGTTCCCGTCCCGGCCCCCGTCACGGCCCCCGTCAGACCTCAAACCAGGTCGAGGGACATCTCAAAAAGATAGCCATAGTGATATTGGCAGGTGCAAGAGCAGTCCTCCCTCTATTCCGCATGACCCCAGTGCCTGTCCTCTACCGCGAATCCGGACTTTTAATACCTGAAATCGAGCTAGACTATATAGCTTCCTCAGCCACAATCCGCCTCCACCGTTTTGACCCATACCACCCCTTACGGAAGCGGGCTGCGAGGATAGTTCGGGAAGGCCGCCTAACCAGCCGATTTGCACGCCGCGTGCTATCACTCCCTAAATCTGAGCAGATTAATCCTCCTCGGTATGCTCCCTGGCTCCCCCAAGAAGCACGTAAAGACGCCCAACTCCGGATAGGGGCCCCTATGGGTCGTTCAAAGGAACAGGCAGCAGACGACTTTGCAGAGTTCTATTACTCTCTCCCTGGAACTGACATCAAAGTCTTCTCAGACGGATCTAAGCTATTGAATAGACAAACAGGCGGAGGCTTTGCCGTGTTTCAGGCTGGACATCAGTTCCTTCGCTCCTCCTTCTCCCTTAGACCTAACAAAGAGGTCTTTGATGCAGAAGCAGAAGCGGCATTAGCTGGTATGAAAGCAGCCATGTCGCTCGAAACATCTCGGTTTGCCACTAATCTGTGGATATTTCTTGACAACCTGGAAGTCGCCTTCCGCCTTCTTTCGCCTTCTACAGGCTCATCCCAAGGAGTCTTTAAGACCTTCTGCGACCTTGCCTCAACTTGGCCTCTCCGCGAAAGACTCCCACACACCAATAAAGGCTCAGTACAGATTCGATGGGTCCCTGGGCATACTCATATCCCAGAAAACGAAGTAGCTGATCATGCCGCCAAAGAAGGCGCTGCCCTAGATACTCCTCCCATAATTAAGCACTCTTATGCCTCATTAAAGAGACAAGCGAAAGCTAGTGCTATGACTGCTATGAAAACTACATGGATGTCTACTGCTCCACAGTCTTACCAAGATCTTGGTATTACCTCCGCCCCGAAATACCCAGACGAGCTTCATCTCCCCCGCCGTCCCCTTGGGCTTATCCTTGCAGCCCGCACAGGACATGGAGATTTTGCAGACTACCACAAACACTTTAATCATGTAGATGCTTATCTCTTCTGCCGCTGCGGTGCAAGGAAAACACCTATTCATTTCTTCTTCTGCCGAATTGCCAAGAGACGGGCTTCTCGCCCTGCCGGGCCTCCCTCTGAGATCATACCCTTTCTACTAGGGACCAAAAAGGGTGCAATCAGACTTGCCTCCTGGCTCACAGAGACTCGGTTCTTTGAGGATATCTGCCCCCGCCAACCCCCATCTTAGCACAAGCTAAGCTGGTCCCCCCTTCTCCTTTGTAATTTTCCTTGGTTTTTTTTTATACTCCTTCAAAAAAAAAAAAAGATGTAGAGGTGGTACGACTGGTCATGGTGTCTAGGCGGACCCTTGCAGCTGGCATCAACATTTAACCGGCTAGAGCAGGTTACCTCTTAGACCACGGCAGCTATGAGAATGCGCCAAAGAGTCTCTTTCTTGTTCTAAAAATCTGTATATAGAATTATAGATTTAGAAGCCCAGGGCTTACCCCCTGGCAGCCTTTGTCCCAATAGGGAATGGTGGGAAGCGTGCCTGTCACGACCCACGGCCGTTAAATACACACACACACACACACACACACACACATATATAATCTGCCTAGTTAGATAACAGGGTCAAATGCTGGATTTCCTCAAGCTGGTATTTCTGTGGACGAAACAAATACAGTAAGGAAGGAAAGGGGCACCAAATTCATCTGAAATAAGAGATGCCGCTAGGTTAAGTTTTCCCTTTCTCATCCTGGCCATCCCCGCTGCGGGGCAACATATTTCTACCCACTATAATGTTAGTACGCTCCCTGAAACTACTACTTTATTAGGTAAAGATGAGTTGCTGGTTTACTTATGTACACGCCCTATCTAATACGTATACACGGACGATGCAACTGCTGGATTTCTCCGCTGAATCTCCGACATAATGTCACAACATCATTTCCAGAGGTAATACCTCTCTATGGTGCTATGTTCTGTAATAATAAAAACATATGTGAATGGGTAATTTCAGTAAATTGACGTCAAGCTGTTATGGCAACGTCTGATGCCTGAGGTTTCCATGAGATGCCTTGTATACTGCTATTAGTTGTCTAACGCAGCGAGAGCAAACCCCCGGGATTTGATAATAAAAGTGCTGTATTTGGCATGATATATAGTAGTGCCATTCCTATCGCATTGACCCAATGTATTAAAAACTATGGACTTTTTCTGGCTACGCACACCACACTGGGCATGGAAAGGGCCACTCCTTGAGACGCCTCCTGACAGCAATCTGCAATCAATTGATGTATATTCCTCGCTTCCTCCAGCATCCCCTTCCGCTGCAAGGACCCGGCAAACTCCTCCATGGTCATCAGACGTTGGTCCCCATTCGCCATGGCCAGCTCCGTGCGATCCCGGAAATGATCCAGACGGGCATCTGTAAAGCCATTGCGTTCCAGGATACCGGGTAAGCTCAGCACCCAATCATGTCTTCCAGTTGAGCGGACAAAATGAAGCAGCCGATCAAATGCCGGGGTGTCTATGTCTGCATTTGCCTTGATGATATGTGTATCGGGGTAGTTGAGATCATCCCACTGGATGTACCCGCCGGGTTTGAGCATGCGGTACGCATTCTGGATAATGGGGACCGGATCACTGTGCTCTACCACTAGGATCAGAAGCCGGAGGTGGACGATATCGTATCTTCCGACAAGATGTTCCGGAACGGGACTGAGGATGTCCCAGCTGTGCACGGTGACATTGTCTGGCAGCCACTGAGCCGGTGGGGCTTTGGAGAGATCAATGTCGAAGCCATCGAGGACAGCTGGTTCCGGTAATTCACAGGCGAGATCAAGGAGCCAGATGCCTGTGCCGCAGGCGAGGTCCGCAATTCTCAGTGGCGACGAGGCTTGGGTATGTGGGATGGGGATAGATGGGTGTAGGTTGAAAGTCAACGAGTTCTTCCAGAAATAGAACTGGAGGTTCAGGCGACATCTGGCAGCATAACCTTTGTCGAGCATGTAACCATTGCCGTCGGCGAGATGGAAACCGGAGGAGATGATCTCCATAGTGAGACAGATGAGAGGGACAAGAGTCTGACAAGCTTTGCGGATGGCTTGTCATTATACTATAAATCCAACAAATAAAAGGGGAAAGGAAAAGGCCTCCACACTAGATCCTTCGTCGTATTCCAGCTGCATTAGTCCAGTTGAGCGTCTGCCACCAAGATTTCCATAAATCCAGCAACGAGAAACTGACCAACGTGTCCGTCTTCACTACCGCCATGTCGTCTATTCAGGTTGGCCTTGCCGTGGGCAACGGCACTGGTCCCGAGCTGACAGCCGTCTTTGAGCGTGTTATTCAATCACTGGCTGCTCGCTACAATGTCAGCGTCACCTTCCTGCGTTCACCACGCATCTACAATTCCTACTCCTCGCTACTAGCTATCAACGACACGGACGCCGTGACGGAAGAAACACTGGCAGACGCCGCCCACTACCGCCAATTCTGCAAAGAAGCCGTATCCTGCGGCGTGCGCGCTATATTCCGTACTTCGATCAGCGCGCAAGCCCTCTACCTCGTCCGCGAGCAGCTCCAAGCTATCAAAGTCGAACACTTCACTCTGAGTCCCACCTCGTCTATCCTCCTCGTCCGCGACCAGGCACAGGGGTTCTACTCCGGCACCAACAGCGTCAACACCAGCAAGGATGCCGTCTCCCGCACCGCGCACTTCAGCAAGGCGATCTTCACACGCATCCTCTCCTACGCACTCGCCCGCGCTAATCAGCTCTGGGGAGGAACCAACTCGGTCACAATGGTCTACAAGTTCCACCTCTTCGACGGACTTTTCCACACCTGGGCAACAGAATGGGAACGAACCTTCGGCGTCAATATCCGGTTCGTACAGGGGGACACCATGAACCGCGATCTGCTAGCCTTCGGGGTGAGTGGCCACAATCTGCTCATTTCAGGCAACGAATACGCAGACATCATGCAGACCATCCTGCTCGATAGGTTTGGGTTAGGGGCGCAGGAGTCCGCGTGCGCAGAGAACGTCTATCTTCACCCGGATGTGCAGGGCCTGAGCGAGTACCAGACCGCCCACGGATCAGCGGATGATCTGGTAGGTAAGGGCATTGTTAATCCGACGGCTACGATCCGCGCCGCGGCCGCCGTGTTAGAGGATCAGGCGGGCTGTTCGGGGGTGAAACAGAGGGTCGATTGCATGTTGGGGGATTTGGGGGCCAGGGGCATTGGGACGCCTGATCAGGAAGGGACAGCTACGACGGAGAGATTTGTGGAGGCTTTCCTGCAGGGGTTAGATCAGCCACTGGACGCGCACAACTACGAGACCTCCCGGTTTCGGGGGAAGCGAACAGCCATGGTGGTCGTGGATTTCCAGAACGATTTTGTCACACAGTACAAGAACCAATCGGCCATGGCACGGGTGGCGGCGAACATCCCGCGAGTGGTGGAATGGGCCCGACAGGCTCGTATTGAGGTGATTTTTGTTCGGTTCATAGGCGATGAGCATTTTCAGGGCCCTAGCTGGCGCTACCGGAATCAGACGCAGGGGCGACAGCCGTGGTGCGTCCAGGGGACATGGGGCGCCGAGGTATTCGGTAGTGTTACTGTCCAAGCGGGCGAACGCGTGTTTGACAAGAAAGCCAAGTTTGATCCGTTCCTGAGCGAAGAGTTTGCGCAGTATATCGCTGCTCGGGGATTTGAGGAGCTCGTGGTGGTGGGCTTGTACACGGATGTGTGTGTTGATGCGACGGTGCGAGGAGCGTTTCAGCGGGGACTGTGGACCACAGTGGTGAGCGAGTGTACGGCAGCATTGCATTTCTCGGAGGAACAGATGCTGGCTTACATGCAGCGGGTGTATGGCAGCGAAGTGGTCGAGATGGAAGATTTGCTGGCGACAGGGAAGGAGAATGGCCCCGTCTCTAGCAGTGGATAAGGAATAGATAGATTCGTTTCATTGTTATTGGTTATCCAACAACAGCTGCACATCTATGTTCGTAATTGGACCAGATGAAGGCACGAGGTTACATTTATTGGCATTGATCCCTGTTAAAGGATTCACTAATCGTGAGTCGTGACTCGTGTGGCCGACGAGCCGATATTAATAGCGGAAGCTAAATAGATGACGGTGAGACATGTCCGAGCCAGGTAAAAGAACTCTTCTTATTAACCGTCAGCACGCCACTCGCCCGAAGCATGGACAAGGATAACAATGTCTCAGATTGACAGCTCGGTCTGGTTCCAACCTCATATCGGCCCACGTCTTAGCCCGTGCGTTCGATATGTCTACAATCACTGGAGCGGCATTCCTGACGAAAATCTCCCTGCCCATTTACACGACATCGTATGTGAATTGCTTCACCCAAGCTCTGCATTATACTAAAACGTTCCAGCGCGACAAAGCCTGGCCTTTAGGTAAATACCCCTGCATTGGCCTCTGGATCTTTCTCCTTCCTGGTTTGGCCGCCCTCCCGCAATTTCCTGTGATCCTGGCTCGAGCCCAGCAGCGCCGATGTAGGATACTGGATTTGGGATGTGGTCTGGGACAGGAGCTGCGCTTACTGGCGGCCCATGGCGTTCCAACTGACCTGATGTGGGCGGTGGACATCGAGCCAGGTCTATGGCGGTTGGGATTTGAATTATTCCGTGATAGGGACCGGATGAAAGCGAGGTTCATTCAGGGAGATTTTCTGAGCATGGCGGACGAAAGCCTCGGTGAGCTCCAAGGCAACGTGGATGTGGTGATAGCGTCACAGTTTCTCCATCTGTTTAGCTGGGACGGCCAGATCATGGCGACGAAGCGGATCGTCGCATTGTCTAAGCCGGGGACGATGCTAGTGGGATATCAACAAGGCAGGAAGACAGCTCGGGAGTATTTGCGACCCTGGGGCATGATGTTCTACCATAATCTCAAGTCGTTTGTCAAACTGTGGGATGTGGTGCAACAGGAAACAAACACACAGTGGAGGCTAGAAGTGACCGAAGTAGATCTCAGGGAATGGGGCATGGAAGATGAGGACGTGCAATGGATGCCAGTAGATCGCCAAGGGATCAACTTTGTTATTACTCGCATCTCATGATTGTTGAGACAGGAATACCGATGGACTATCAGTTCTTCGTACCCTCAAACACGCCGAGAAATCCCTGCAGCAGTCTTACACATTCGTCGATCCGTATAACAAACGGCGCACAGTGACTGCAGACCATCTCCTCAACGATCCAATCCGTCTGAGTAGCGGCGATCATGGCACGCTGAGCTCCCTCGGGAACAGCCTTGTCCAGTGTTGGAACAATAAATGCCAGTCGTCCGGCATACGCCTGGTCTGCCCAAGCAGGAGCAGGTTGGGGAGAGTTGAACGCCAACGTGGAATGAGGCCGGATGTAACCCGCGAGACTTTGGGTCACGTCTTCATCAACATCAGCGGCAAAGTTGCCGGCAGGGTCATCGGGGATGTTCACTTTTTCGTACGGCTATAGAGCGTTACTCATCTATTCAGATTCATCCAAGTAGTAGGAGGACGGGTAGTACCTTGTCCAACAAAATCCACGGGGGGAGATTCCCTCCCTGTAATCCCGCACAACTTAATCCTTCCGGAACCAGGAAAGCCGCGATGAACACCATTCCTACGATGCCACCAGACTTGCCTTGTTGCATTCGTTCTGTTTTAGCAAGTCCCTTGGCGGCCGCGGCTCCAGGCATTCCTGCGTAGGAGTGCATGAGTAGAAGGACATCGCGGCCCTCGTCTTCCACTAGCGGACGGATGACGCTGGTGATGGCATCACTGTCCGCTTTACAGTCTGCGCTCGTGGGATCCGCGGGGTCCAGAGAGGGATATCCAGCATAGCGGACAGGATACCCAGCCTTGGTGAGAGCGTCGAGGAAAGGCTGATAAAAGTCCGGAGTGATCCACGCACCGGGAACGAAGACGATAGTGGCCATTATATTGTCGTATAGATCAAAATTGGATGATCGACGCAGTCTCATGACGTCCGAGGTGATTCAGGCACTTAATATATAGCTATGATCTTGGCAATTAGGGAACAAAATCACCTCGAGCGCCACCTCATTCCCCCTTTCAGGGATTCTGATCCTTCCCTTGCTTAGCTCGAGATCATCCTGGTCTGCCCCTCATCGTAGTTCGGCGAGGTCTTCCGATGAGAGGATCAATTAATCCGCCTAGTGTTCACCGGGCGATAGGCTAACCGCCAAACTCACTTGCTACAAAACTGACCTGTTACCTGTCTTCTTGAGAGATTGTCTCCCTTGAGTATACCACAGGCGGTGCTTCCCTCGCAGTATGGACTTCACTCCTCCGCCCGGGTTGGATCTTTCCGTATCTAAACGTGCCAATCTATATGCGGCATACTCATCCACGTATGGACTGGCCGTGGTGGCAGTGGTGCTGCGGTTGTTGTGTCGTACCCGAGTGTCCAAGGTTGGACTTTGGTGGGATGATTACTTGATTTGCATTGCTTTGGTGAGTATCATAGATGTGCTGCTCAGTAACATATTCTGACACGGTCGATAGGCCATGGTAACCGGAGAATACGTCGACATGGTCGTTTGGGTGTATCGAGGCGTGGGAACACACATCTACCCCCTTGGGATGACCGGCTTCTCCAACTTCTTCATCAACCTCTTCGTCTGCGAGATCTTCTATACGCTGTCCATCTGTCTGACCAAATACTCCATCCTGATGTTCTATTGGCGCATCTTCGGCACCACCAACATCCGCTTCCCAATATATGTCATATTCTTTCTGGTAACCGGCTGGGGGTTGGGCGTCGTATGTCGGATCATATCATGAGTTTGGCTGGATTTCTCTAATAAACCAAAACAGATCTTCACGACGATCTTCCAATGTCTACCCGTCCGTGGCTTCTGGGATAAATCCCTAAACCCACACTGCGGTGTGGACGTCAACCAATTCTTCATCGGCAACGCAGTCCCCAACATCATCACTGACTGGGCATTGCTGATCCTCCCCATGCCATACATCTGGCGACTTCACAGGAACACCACCCAGAAAATAGCCATCAGCAGTGTCTTCGTGCTCGGAGGGTTGTAGGTCTCACTCCTCGCCTGGATAAAATCGTACTAGCTGACCATGCAGTATCTGCGTCATTTCCATCGTTAGATTAGTGATTATGCTCAACTCGTACCGAGTCCCCTCGATCGATGTAACGTGGGTATTTATCGGTCCCTCGACGTGGACGGCGGTGGAGACCAATATCGGAGTCGTGTCTGGTGAGTCGGCCGTTCCGTAGGGAGATCGCGCAGCTAACTGTAAAGCGTGTTTGCCATCTCTTCGTCCTTTGCTTCGTTTGTTCGATCGTGATCACGGAACGCAGGATAGTGCTACTCCACCTAAGCAGAGCGCTCACTCGTATGGAACGTTGAGTTCGACCGGGAAGCGCAGTAAACGAAGTAGGATGCAGAATGACTCTGAGCTGCATTTGTCGACCATTGATGTTACGACGACGGTGGACATTGAGGAATTATATCGGTATTAGTTTGGTAGGGTTGTCAATATTGTTGAATTTCATTGATCAATATGTATTATAGCTCTGTGCCGGACGGGCCTCGGCGTTCGTCTTTGAGAAGTCATATAGCTGATGAGATCGATGCGATGAGTTTGAAGTGGAAAAACGCCTTCCACCGTTACTGGGACGGCTACGCGACTGGGTACCTCATATATCCTTGGCCTATGTATGGTTGCCATCTACGGTTCCCTGTCGGGTAGTAGCCCACTTGATATAGTATCATTCCCAATGAGTATCGCTACCAGGATAGTGTTTGTAGCGCTCAATTGAAAGCGCTTGAGGATCAGTTGGCGACCTGGGCAACCTCGGCAGGAGGATACTTGTCCCCATACTCGGCCACGATCCATCGGCAAAACTCCTCCCATTGCTGATTCCAATATTGAATGCGCTGGGCTTTGATACCATCGCCACGTGCGGCCAGATCAATGTCCCGAAGCCAGTCAGCGTCAGACTGGTCCTCAAAGTTGGACCAGCGAAGACTGTTATGCGCCAGAGCTCCCTACGGTTCGTTAGCTCAGCCTGGTACGAACGGGATTTGACAGGAGACCTACCAGTCCAGCAAGTCCAATGTTATCGAATCCTTGGATAGTCTGATAGAAATCATAGCTCAGACCTGCAATGTCCTGTCCGAGAATGGCCGGATCGTCGTTACTGATGGCGGTGGGAACACCATAAGCGATCATCACAGGGAGAGGATGGTGGAGGATATCCGTCGCCAGACGCAGGACTTCGTTGGAGATGGGGCACACTTCGACCATGACCGCCTTTTCAATCACCTCGTCGATGAGTGTTGGGTGCTTGTACAGGGAGAACCCATGGCCGATGCGGCGGGAATTGAAGAGAATGGCATCTACCAAGTTATAGTCAGTCGAGTTTCCGTCTCCAAGTGTCTCGCCGGCGTGAAAAAAGAAGGGGATAGTCAGATTCAGATACTCAGTCTGCTCCTGGAACCAGATCAGTTCGGGGGCCAGGTCTGACAACAGACAACCCAGATCCTCCTGCGCGACCAGATTGTAGCCGCTGAACAGCTCCGGAAACCTTTGCTTGCGCTCTAGGGCAATCTTCATGCCTAAGACAGGTCAGTCGCGTTTCCAGTATACTCAGAAAGCAGACTTACTCTTAGTGATCTTCTCCCAGTTCATGCTTCAAATGTTGGACCAGATGACGCGGGCACCCCAGAAATTCTTCCCCTTGTCGGTGGCCTGGAACTTTTCAATCTCCTCGATCATCACATCCCACCAGACATCGAGATTGGGATCAATGTCCTCCTGGCCGGTGTGAACCAATTGACCGCTGGAGCCACCGCTGCGGATTTCCACCCAGTTGATGCCATCGTCGGCTAAGCCTTCAAATAGTTTCTGGTAGAAGGTCCGCACGATCGGCTCATAGCTGACCATAGTATCCGCGGGACCAAAGCACGCTTCGAATCGTCTCCAGATCTTGTCCACACCCAGCTCATGGCGGATTGACTCCTGCGGGAGGATGGTCAGCTTGGACTTCATGAAATCCATAAACCCTTGCCGGCCACCGGGGAACCGGTCGGCGGCGATTTAGACCGAAACCTGGGTGTTGGGAACGTAATTGGCCGAGGAGATCGTTTCAGCCGAGGTGTTTATGGTCGTGTTGACATGGGCAAAAGCGACCGTGGCATTTTCTGCGCTCTGCTCATCCAGAATCGGTTGCGACGTGGAAATGACCATGCCTTCGGTCGCGAGAATGGTTTCAAGAATGGCTCCAAATGGCAGCATGGCCGACAAGTGTGCATGTAGCAGCGCACCCTTGGGCATGCGCTTGACAATCCTCCAGAGCTTCGTGGAATTGATGTATGGCCGCGCCAGAGGGAACATCTCCCCGGCGAAACGCTCGTCCTCTGGATGCTCAAACGTGCCATACTGCCGCCAATAGTCGTCAATCTCCTCCTGCCGGATTGCCTGGACGATGACATCTGCCTGTCGAGCGACTGTCGACAGGTTCTGGCGGAACTCGTGATCTACAGTCCAGTCAGTATCCGTCGTCACCAGGTAGGAATGGCCGCCTACCTTGTCGCTGCCGCTTTTCAATGGTGATCATGGCCGATCGAGCCATGAGATGGTGCCGCACGGCACTGCCATTCGGATCCGGGACGTCATCAGGAATGACCTTCGCCGCGCTGAGCGACAGGCACAGCGCATAGGCCACGAGATTCGGCAGTTTCATGATGATAAGGCCCCTTGGCACTTGGCAGGATGGAGAAGAAGAATCCGACAGCTCCAACGCGTCCAGCTAAAGCTTAATATATAAGCATTTGGACCGTGTCTTTGCCGCTTTCATCATCCCGAGAGTCGGACGGCGGACTGTGTTCCTATTCTCCGCTGTCGGTATTAACATCGCTTTTATCGTCTGGACTGCTCTGACTGCGCACTATACTGCCAATTCAGAGGTATCATATGGCATTGGCGTTCTCGTTATGATCATCATCAACAGCTTCTTCACGTGCATATGTTGGATCCCCTTGGTCGTCGCCTACCCTCTCGAAACTGTTACTACCAAACAGCGAAGTATCTATTTCGCAATCACTCTGCTTACGATCAATGTGACAGCCTTTGTGACGAGCTACCTGACTCCTGTCGGCATCGCCGATATTGGCTGGCGTTACTACATGCCAACTGCCGTCTGGAACGCTATCATGGTGATCATCATTTACTTCACATTCATAGAGACGAAAGGATTGACACTGGAAGAGATCGCCACCCTCTTTGACGGAGACGAAGATTTTGTCAACAGTGCGATTGCTGTCAGTCATGACATGGGGTTGAAGAGAGGGGAGTTTGTGGTTCATGATGAAGTTGCGGCACCGAATATTGCTTGTGAGAAGCAGGTCTAATTATTTGATCATGTTTTGAACTCTGTATCATCCCGGGATACTTGGCGCAGTTCCAGGCTCATGGATGCCGCACTTACTACCAAGCTTACCAGAAGACGCTGTTTCTAGTTCACATATGTTCTAGATAAAGATCGTAAGAAGAAACGTGGAGCCAGAGCGATTTGATGAGCCATTTTTTTCAAATCTGTTTGACCTTGAGACTTCAATGTAGAAAACTTTGTTCGCTTGGGCCTAAATGCTAATTTGCATGTATTATTTCCTGTTTTTATAATGTCTAGTTAACTAGTAAGGAGGCGGGGTGCACTAACGACCAAAAAAGAAATAAACAAGACAATAGATCAAATGAAGTAAACACTGCCCATCAGACTAATATAGCAGATCAAAGAAATGATAATCACATGGCATGATAACACCGTCGCCAGTCCCCTACCACACTAGTTAACTATGGTCTGTGTAGCAATTCCCCTGACTCAGCCGTGGATTATGTTAACTATAGGTTACCCTGTATTCGCGAATAGAGGCCTTCTGGCAATCAACTATTCAAAGAAGCTTCACTGCCGCGGGTCTCGTTCCAGTTAACCCAGAGAGCGTGCTTTAAAAGCTTAATGGAGGGAGATTAAAGCTTGCTATCTCGCTCTACATGCCCTCGCAACCTAGTAGTCGACCTACTAGCAGGTCAAGAGGATTCTCTCCAGAAGTGCCGAAACCGTTATGAAGCTAGATAAGCAGGCTTCCTACTGAAAATCTATGCATATGACGATTAAACAGCCCTCCAACCCCTTAGAAAATTGCGCTAGATCCAGTTGACAAAGGGTGTGCAGTTGCGCTACATGACGGAAAGCTATCAGCGCAGGAAAACCACGACCTACGGCAAGCGAACGAGAAGGGACACCGGAAACGCACGCAGTCAAAATTGACAGATAGCACATGAAGGTGGCCTAACTGTTGCGAAGGGTCTGCGGCTTGTTGAACAGCAAAGCCAGCTAGTTGAAGGCGGTGACTTAGTATCGCATACACAGGGCAATTTGCCTATCCAACAAAATCAATCGGCTAAACCTGGCAATTTCACAATTACTGAAAACCTACTATATCCAAAACCAACCGCCGTTAATGCAAATTCAAGATATCCGAACAAGCGGAATACGCCTTCCTTGATGCTTCGACGGGCTAAATGGCTCCAGTCAGCATTCAACCAGTTCTGTGCTGAGTGTGGGCATCCAGATCTCCGAATTGACAGAGGAATGGCGTTAGATCGAATATCTCTGGATCATACAGGCATTCTTCAAATTCACTACAGCGCTTTCTAAAATTAAGTATAGTATGTATACGGGTAGTCTTAGATGGAGTTTTCCTGAAGGTGAAAAGACGGCCGAAAAAATAAAACTGGTAGAAAATGAGCAGATTTAACGCAAACAGTGCGCGCCAAATCTGGCGCGGCGTCTTGATTAGATTGTCCATCTGCGCGTACTGGCGACTACATGCACAGATGAGTCAAAGCAGTAAGTATGCAGCTACTTTCTGAGCAATGCAGTCAGGTCTCCGCTAGCCACTTGAGAAAGTATATTCTACTACTTTCGCAGATCCGTGAAGCCCCTATCAGAAGAAGATATTGTTTCACTGTGCCACTAACTCGCGCTTCCATTACCGTGAGGACTAGCTATGATAAGCGAGCACCTTCCGCAGTACGTGACCCTAGGGGCTTGTCACATTTTCCATCCACAGCTGCTCTCTTTGAAGGCGGCTCTTTGCAAGCCTCAAGCTCGCAAATCCACTTCCTCTTCCAGCTCACGCAGTTTCGACGAGGTTCTTCGATAGAATGGGCGTCAAAAAAATGCCGTTGTAGAAGCAAGATACCGTTGTAAGATCTGTTCTCGCAGCAGGGATGAGGGCATTGAATAGCCTCCTCTTTTCCCCTGCCAGCCAAATGTTTACCATCGATGTGGTTTATCAGCGTAGATTTCTCCCGCCATTGCTGGAATCGTTCCGCGGGTGTTTTAGTATTGTCACCCAAGCAGAAAGGACAGAACCCAGGAGCAACTAATGTAAAGCGGAATCGCAATAGTCCACAGCGAGGTTGTAGATGGTCTAAATGGTATTGGCAGTGCTCAGTCCAAGCATCCTCTGTATTGAACCATTTGGCGCACAAGTAGCACCATTCAAGGAAAGATCGCTTCGCTCGTCGATGCGCTCGCTTGCCGTTTGTATAAAGCTGCTGGTACGGTGCAGCATTCAAGGACTTCCTTCTACATTGTAGAATGTGCTTCGACCGATTTGGTAAGTCGATACTGCTGAAAATTAGCTACCGCATGTAGACTTAAGATGATCGAACAAACCTAGACATTTCGCTGGAGCATACTGGACATCTCCCGTTGATTGGCGATTCACCAGGATAATATGCCACTCTTTCATTTGAGACGCAGATATTCACCATATCCTGTAAACATTGTCTTCCGATCTTACTATTAATCGAGGTTTTGGTGAAGAGGTTGTCGCGTAAACGATCTCTCTCTGGCATATACTTGCGGCAGATTGTGAAGAGACATGTTGGATCATGCTCCCCAAACTCATTCCCTGTAATGTATTCATCATAAGAAGATCTCCACCAGTTATTAATAAACTCAACTTTCTTGGCACGGCGCTTCTTAGCTGCTTTCGTGTAGAGCTTTTCCCTCTCAAGTGCTAATTCTTCATGCTCACCAGGCTTTCCTCCGATTTGTCGAGTAATGTCATTGATCCTGCGGTAAATCTCTTTCATTTCAATATCATTCTCAACCTGCGCAGTGGCAGCAGCGTCAAGACGTTGCGGAACATTAGTGTCGCGATGATGAGCCATGCTTTCTTCCATTTCCAGACATTCATAGTCCGGCTTTAGGTTCCAGAAGCTGGCCTGGACATCAACACGCTTAAATTTCGATTGATTACTTGAGGAAGGTGTCTGGGTTCTGGTGATCCAGTGCTTGGCTTCTCGCCGCTTGGGAAGCCTTGGCTACGAACCTGTTAGCGTCTGCTAGAAGTTGCATAACAGACAAGATGACTCACGGTCAATTGCATTTGCAACTCCCCCTCTAATTCCATGGATTCTCAACTGGTCTCAGAAAGAGGCCCATTGGGCAAGCAACATAAAATGGTGCCGTATTGATGAAAATGTCATCGCACGGGTGGGGTGCGGTCCATCAATGGTTACCATGCAAAGCACTGGTAGGTTTTGTACGTGCGCTTCCCATTCAAGGGTCCATGACTCTCTCCCTTTCGGTGGTCTTTTATCTAATAACTCATCGGCTGTGTGGATGCCCCTGAATGCCTTATCGGCAATACCTGCAACCATAACGTAGAATATGAAATTTCTTCCAAGTATATCTTGCTCTGGTATCCAATTTCTGGGACTATATCATCGCAATCAGCTGTGTAGCGTTGAGGATAAAGAAGACAAATCCTTACATCACCGCCTCATCATCGTAGCGATGGCCTTTGAGGAACTCTGGGTCTATGGTGACCCAGTACTTGACTTCCCTAGTTTTTGAATCCCATTGTAGATTGAAGGAAAGATGCTACATAGTAATCAGCATGCGACCCTCAGATAAGTAGAGCAATGGGACAAACTTTATAGTAGAGACACTCGTTGGTACCTCTGTAAGAACTCGACTCAACAATCATACCCGCTCTCGCACCAGAACCGGAGAACAAAGAGAGTGAGAATGCATCTTGAAATCTGGCACGCTCATGTACGTAGTCATGGTCATCATCTTCAAATAAATGTCGAAGAAGTAGATCGAGATCCTTTCTAGTCACAGGAAACTTCTCTCGATGTTTGGTAGCAAGCCCATACTTCGGAGTAAGTTCATTACGGATATTCTATGGATGCATTAGCACTATAGGCGTAGCATAACCGCCTATGCTAACTCACGTTGTAGAGATCATCCTTTACTGTATCTGGCAGCTTTCTGCAGGTCTTTTTCTGCCACTCAGCAATAAAACAAGAGAGGTTAAGACAGACAGTATACTGAGTGGGCAAGTCTCCTTTGCGTAAAGTGATAAACGCCTCCGAAAACAGCTTCAAGATTTGAACAGGAGGATCAGGTTCGTCCTTTGAGAAATATCAATCACCGGGTTCATTTTGAGAAAGCATCCATCTATAGTATATGTCGTCAGCAACTAGGCACAAAGGTTTGGTAATGAAGGAGCATTTATTCGTACAATTTCCAAAACTCTACAGAACGGCCATATCTGTTATCGGTAGCCGGAGCCCTTCTCTTATGACTGATTTCGTTTGGTTTATTTTTTTGTTTTTCCTGGTACTCTCTTGTGAATCCTCGTAACTCTGCAAATTTGCGGAGCTCCTCCACTTTTCTCCTCAGATCAAGGTCATTTGAAGACGCGTCACGTGACATGTTGTACAACAGTACAAGGATGTGAGGGAAACAAAATAAATGACAAAAACACCGTTTGTAGGTAGGAAAGGAAACAATGGTTGAGCAGAGAAGAAGCCCTCATATTTAAGCTGGCGATGGAGGTACTAATAATGAGCTACAGGTAGTCCAGTCACCACAGAATCGTTCTCTCACCCACTGATCACCCACGCTCACCCATGCTGTTGGATAGCGTCGCTCAGCTCACCTTCACTCACCCGCACTCACCCTGTGGTTTAGCGTCTCTCACCCGTAAAGCAGCAGGCCTTCCAGGGCGCATATAACTTCTGACCGCGTTGATAATACTGGCTTAAGTACGGCTGAGCGGACGGGAAGCCCTGTTTTCCACACCCTGTGGTCGTATGTGCTAGTCCTCAGCATGGAATGGTTAATGTACGCTTTGCAGTAGATTGAAATAAATTCGGAGTACAGGATAGAGATCTCTTGTACTCTATGGACCGGGAGGCAGCGAACACTCGGGTTCTTATGCACTGTTTCAAAATCGAAGATCTGTTAGACCGCTCAGAGGCAGACAGATAGCGCGCGCTCACATAGTCCTTATACTCATCAATGATGTCTTTTGTTGTGAATGCTGAATCTGGTGCGGTCAGGGCCCTTTGAAGAGGTACTTGAATAAATATAGGAAGATAACCGCCGTTGAGCAGAGGCGGCAGATGCTTACGCCCCTGGCTACAACACCAGCCTTCCTCCTCTGTAGATAGGAGGGTGGTACTGCAGAAGCAGCAGGTCCTTAACTGGTCCTGCGAGAAGCGGGTCACGACCATGCGCGCCAGCTGATCCCATTAGCAGAGGGACCCTTGCCCCGGCTATTGCGCGAGATATCCATCCACTGACTTCCGGTTATGGGAGCGCCGGTTGAGTCTCTGCCAGCAGAGGGCGCAGTGGACTTTGACGCTGTATGGTGTTCGGTAGAGGTGTAGTCTCCAGCGGCAGGAGCACGGGGAGGATCTCAGGTGGGCCAGGGAGTAGCAGACATGGACACTGGACTGGCAGGAGTTGTAGGAGCTGTTAGGCGTTGCTAACACCGGCAGGTCTCACAGGTCCTATAACGGACATACTCCCATGGCCGCCAGAACAGGTAGGTACGCGGGGAAAGAAGTCGCATTAGACATGTAGCATAGGTTGATCGAAGGGATGACGAAGTCGGCAGGATAAGGAATGTTAAGGAATATGGAACTATGGATACATGGATAGATATAGCAGGCCGCACAGGTAAGAGTGTGGGCAATGGGTAACCCGGTTACCCCGGGCATATACCATGCCGGCCACATGCGATGAATGGGCGGCTTGTAAATCAGTAATATGGCCTATCCACTGCTCCATATCCATGCCCTCCTCAGCATCGGCATCCATGGCCGCTGGGGCTGGGTTGGCCTCTTGAATATTATGGGGGAACGCGGTGGATGGCCGCAAAAATCGGCGGCTGATGGCAATGGTAATGTCACGGTACGCAGCAATGTGGATGGCGGTCCCCAATTGGGTGCGCGTCTCCCGCTTTAACGCCTCGCGGAACCGTTCGGATGACCATTCACGGCCGGTGCCGGGGTTGGGACCCCATAACCATGCACTGTGGTGGGTAATTGGGACTGTCTGGGCTGTTCGGGCTGTCTGGCCCATTGGGTTCGCCTCAGTCGCCTCGCTGGTCGGTGTGGTCTGCGTGGTCTGCGTCTGCGATGCCTGCCATGCACTTAACTGGTTAATAAACGGCATCACCAACCAAATATACCATATCACCAACTCGCCAACCTCCCGTGGCACATATCGATGGATAATTTTCACATCATTGGTGGCATGGAACCCCTTGTGATATGCCGTCGCAAATGTGACCATGCCATCTTCCATATATATATTCCGCCGCATGCTATTTGCGGTGTTTGTATGCTGAATGCTTAATAATTCTGGTGCCCGTGCGGGCTGCCCTGCGGTGACATGGACCATGATTGCTAACTTCTCCTTGAATTGGGCCACGCGCTGCCAATACTGCTGGATGGCTGGGGGGTGGAATTGGCTGCCCCGCATGAACTGCTGCTGCATGGCCGGCTCGGCCCGGACCTGGTTAATCATCCAGCGGGACCCATCCACCGGCCACTGCGTCCGTGCGTCCTGCAAAAAATTCCACCCGGGCTGGCTCTGGCTGGGGTCGTCGTATAATGCAGTCCATGGGATTGGGGGCATCTGGTCGTAATCCTGCATGCATAACTGGCCTAATATCTCCTGGGCCGCCGTGACCAACCCATGGATGAATCCACGAAAATCACCTATGGTGAACGCGATCTGCTGGTATAATAACTGGTCATCACCCATCCACATCACATGCCCGGGGCTGGTGCTGTTATAATGCACCTTTAACCCATACGTGCGCCAGTCCAGCAATGTTTCCATGGGGCTATGGGTCCCGCGGATCATAAACTAGTGCATCATCCACGTCACCTGCTCCTGGAATGGCCGATAGCCCTGCCGGTGCATGTCCACAGTGGGTAATGGGTCGTCACTGTGGATGGATGATGTGGGGGGTGATGATCGGGGTGCCATGGCATCCTCACTGTCATAACCCTCATCAATGTCCCCTAATGTGTCATCTGCACTGGCTAACACCCATTCCGCACTCTGGTCCTTCTTCTCCCATGTCTGGATGATCTGCCATAGGTCAGGATCCATCCACAATGCCTTCTGGACCACCATAAACCGCGCAATTTTGATGACCCGGGATAATATGGGGGGGTAACTCTCGGGGTCCCGCCAGCCAGTTTCCCCCTGCCCCAACACGGCCATGGCGCATACTAATGCACTCTTGTATTCGTGGCTGCGATAGCACTGGTTCAATAGCTCAATACAAAACTCCAAGCATGCCTTTTTAATGTCCGTCATGGCCCATGCCTCCCGCTGCGGGGCGTCCGTCCTGGGATCCATGGGATCGGGGCTGCTCCGGGGGCCCTGGCCAGCCAGCTGCCATAACTGCTGCCATTTCTTGCGCTGCTGGCCGGTCATCCCATATTTCGGGCTGGTCCAGTCATGTGGGGCCTGGGTGCGGGCAATGAATGCCAAAATCTGCTGCCATGGATGGACATGCTTCTGGATCGCGGCTTCGTCCATGTATGCTAATAATGGCCGGTATGGGGTCTGCCCCTTTTCGGACCGGACAGCCTCCACCCAGATGGCCTGGCCGCAATGCTGGACCGTCTGCTGGCTCTTCCGGGCCACTTGCTCCATGGTATCCCAGATCACCTGCACCCCCTGCTCAGTAGCATCCATAGTATCTTCCTCTGGGGCTGCCACGCAGGCAAGTAGGTCATTGGCCTGGATCCCCTGCAGATAGTCGGCCCATCCCGTCATTCGCAGCCATGGGTTCGCATCGGTGATCTCACCGGCCTGAATCACTTCATCGGCCTTAGCCTGCGCCTGCTCCCACGCCGACATGACCTCATCCACCCCTGCTTGAGTCTGGTTGGCGGGGGCTGGAGTATATGGCTCTCGCGGCACAGTCGTGGGAGATCGGACCTGAATGTAATGGGACCCTGTTCGCAATGGGAAGAACCGCTGGCATGTAACAGCTTTATATCCTTATTAAATGGCTATCCAAGCTTGTTCTCGCTCATAGTGATTCAGTTGACCAGCTCCCAATCTTACTGTCCATCCATGCTTCTCCCGCTAATATTGCTTGATGGTGTTCACTGAACGGGTGATATACTGACATGGGCAGGGTTCATGCTGGCATAATAACCCATCTGGATATTCATCAAGCTCAGGAACTGACTGAGTGATGACCATTAGCCATTAAACAGCAGATGGATCATGCGCAATCCCCCCCCCCATCTCTAAATGGCTTGGTGGATTTGCTTTACAGTGGCATAGGATAAATAATGGCTCTTCCCTTTCAAGTGGCTCTTAATCTCACTAGGCCATACTCTGTGGCGGCAGGTTCGGCATATGATGATAGGGGGCTGTGTTAATTTAAGGAATAATTCTTTCTCTATCTTAATTAAATCTTAAGAATAAATATGGATAAGATGTCTTCCAATCAGTAAAGGTATTAATAATTAGATACTTTTAAAGTAGCTTATAATCAGCCCCTGAATCTCACTGTCAGAAGAAAGTACTTTTTAGAAGAATAGGCAGCTCAGCTTTAACTATAACAAAATCTTATGAGACATAAGATATACTACTACACCCTCCAAATATAGAATTACATATTTAAAATAAGTTATATTGTAATTTGGATCATCAACATGAATCCAGGAAATTTTTAAATGAAAATACCTTGATCTGGCGATACGCGGGTACCCTAAGAATGGGAAATTAGGAATTCATTTATACATCACCAAGCCAGCTCCTATACCTAATGGAGTTAACACCCTATTTCATATGTACTACACATCCTAACCCCTATGGGATAGGCCTTAAGGCTCCACCCCCTTATGGGATAGAATATTAAGCCTCTAGTCTAGTCTTGGTCCATATCTATAGTGATACACGGCCGTTTAGCCAGGCCAGTATTAAGATCCCCCTGCCACGCTCGCTTGCGAGGCCCTAGATAGGTCTTGAACCCCAGAAACCCATGCCACTCCCGGCTAATGGCCTGGTACTAGCAGCGCCGTGCCTCTACATGGCCCGGTGCCTCCTGCAGCCCCCGCGTGTATACCATGCCCGCAATCCAGGACCCATGGCTAGCCTGCTCATTAAAGGCCGCGTTATCTGTGCCACTATAGTCCTGCTTAAAGCCGCCACACTTCAGGTGCACCCGCGAGATCGCGATCGCTGCATGCCGGTAGGACAGGGTCTGTAGATGGGTCTTAGCCTCCTGCTGAAGGATCTTCCGCAGCCGGTCACTTCCCCAGGTCCCCTCCCCCGCGGGCCAGAGGTAGGGGGACGCAGTCCCGCGCTGGCCCCGGGCTAGCCGCTGCAGGGACTGGCAGAAAGGCAGGATTAGCCAGAGGTAGTAGACCACCAGCTCGCTGACTGCCTTGGGTAGGTAGCGGTGGATGATCTTGGTGGAGTTACTGATCGAATATCCCTTATGGTAGGTAGTCACCGTGCTAACCAGGCCGTGCTCGATAAAATTAGACCGGTGGCGGCCATGCTTGGTATTGCTATGGGTCAGGGTCAGCAGCTCGGTGGCCCGCCCAGGCTGGCCCCCAGTGACATGCACCAGCAGCAGCAGCCGCTGCAGGAACCTGTCTACCTGCTGCAGGTACTGGTCCACCGGCCCCTCCTGCCATAGGACCTCATCCCGCTGCCCAATCTGGTGGATCTCCATGAACTCCTCCCGCAGCCAATCTGCCCCCAGGACCCGGTCCAGCAGCCAGCGTTCCCCCTGGGTGGGCAGGGCCTTACGGGTTCAGGGGTCCCGCAGGAAGTTCCACCCCTGCTGATTATTAGTGGGGTCATCCTGCAGTTCATGCAGTGCCAGTTGCGGGACCACCTCCTCCTGAACCTCCTCCTCATGCAGCAGGAACAGCTGTGTGAGCTCTGCCTGGGCCAGCTGAACCTGGCTGGCAATAAACTGGCGGAATCCCTGCATGCTCATCTGGAGGTCCTTATAGCTCAGGGTCTGCTCATCATCACTCCAGTAGATATAGCCCATGCTAGTAGTACTATTCTGGATTTTCTTCCTGTATGTGCGTAGCCGGGTGATTCAGCCAAAGGGGGCGCGCACCCTGTATAGCAAGAAGCGCTCGCGCATCTCGTCTAGGGCGTCCGCGGGGTGGGTAACCTGGCCAGTCTCGGCCAGGCGGACGGCCTGCAGGGCCACCAGCATCTGGGCCATCTTGACCAGGCCGGACAGGTAGCTGGTGTAGCTATACGGGTCCCGGAAGGTCTGGCGCGCGGGGTCCACCCCCAGGACCGCCAGGAAGCCGACCAGGGTGCTGTCGAAAAGGTCTCCCTGCAGAGGATGATCCAGCAGGGCAATCGAGAGGGCTAGACAGGCCTGGTCCAGCTGTTTTTGCACCTTTCCTTGCAGTACTGGCTGGTCCTGGCCCTGCAGGTCTAGCAGCTGCTGCGCATGCTCCTCCATCTAATCCAGGGCAGCTAGCTGGGCGGTGTTAAGCTGGTGACGCAACCGGATGGCTTGATCCGGCCGGGTGCTGCGGTAGGTGAAGCAAACCAGTCGCTGCCATACCTGGCAGTATCGATGGTAGGTAGCCGGCCGCAGATGGATCTGGATAGGCCGGTTCCACACACTGGGCTTGCGAAAGAAGGTGTTGATCTGGATCTGGTTGAACTCATTCAGACGGCCGTCCTTGATCACCTGGTAGGCTTGGTCAATCAACCGTTTGATACTGGCGCTGAACTGCAGGAGAACAAGCTCCATGGCAGGATCAGGCAGGCATCCCAGCAATGCCACTGCAGCCTGGTCCTGTCCCCGCAGGTACTCCGGCCAGCGGGTCAGCTCGAGCCAGGGGGACACAGCCGTAGGGTGGGGATCTATTGCGGGTACCTGGCCATCCTCGATCTCTGCCGCGGCCTGGCCCTCCCGCAGTGCCTGGTCCACGCAGGCGCGGATCCGCTCCGCGGAGGTCATGGAGACGGTGGCTCGCAGTGCCTGCTTGCTGGGTGGCGTGGCGGCACAGGTGACCTCGAAGAACTGACTCCCGTGCTTGTTAGGGAACAAGCGCTGGCAGGAGACAACGCGATTGGCGAGGCGCCAGCTGGCCTTTGCCTGCCACTGTGGCTTCCGCCCACGGCCGCAGGGAGGCTCCAGGTCTCTATGGGTCTCACGGTGATGCTTCTGAATAGTCTCAGTGGTGCGAGCAACGTAGGAGCAATGGGGGCAGCCATGGCCCTGGTAGACCGGTAGCCCTGGGATTGGTGGGTCGGCCGGGGACGGGATCACACAGGATCTCTTAGTGGGATCAATCCACGGCCGCTTCAGCATCTCTGTCAAGGCTGCCTCACGCAGGGCCACGGTGGCCACGGTCGCGTGTGAGCGGTGATGGACACGGAGGTGTGTAAGCAGGGTCTGTGGTGAGACAGCATACTGGCACTGACGCGCTGTGCAAATCCAGACCTCGTAGGTCGGATTATAGATAAAGAGGTCCATATTATCCCCTCGATTAGGTTCAGGGTCAGAATTAATGAAAGGAATACAGGCAATCTAGGGAATAAGAAGAAGAAGAAGAAGATGGGTTATTACAAGACCATGATGACAGGAGACCGCGACACCGACCGCGACGCGGCGACGCGGCGACAGAGGAGGAAAAGAAGCAATTATGTCTTCGCGGTTGATCTATACGAAGTGATCCAGGCACAGACTAAGCTAGTAGCGGCAGAGAACCCCACCAACCAATCAGGGGCGGAGAAAATCGGACGCAGTGCGGCCGTTCACGGACTAGGGACTAGGCGGTTGCATTGAGGCGCGGCGAGGTGGGGAGGATGTTCAGGAGGTATTCTCGCGAGAGGGTTGCAACTTGCATGGGATGTGTCCGGTCTTGGGTGCGCATGGGGTACTAGGCCAAGAGACATCGCAGCGAAGCCCGTATGCGTAACGCAGAATGGGCGAGTCAGGGTAACGCCGTGCGAGACAACGCCTGTGATATAGCTCGGCCGTGTCTCTGGATTGGGGAATAGGTTATCATTGAGATCGTCGAGCATTCCACAGCCGTTCTGCAGGAAGAGAATGGTGGAGTCTCTACTGAGACGGTGTTTCAGTGGTCTCAGTGCGGCGACAGTCTGCGTGGCCTTTACGCTGACAATGAGTTGTTGAATCTCGGCGTTGACCTCTTCGAAGCCTTCTGGTTCACTCGCCACTGAATACCAGTTTCCTTTCCGGTACAGTTCAAGCTCGTATCCATCATAGGGTACAATCTGACCACTTCTCGTTTCTTTCGTCGGAATGCACGTCGGCCATTTTTGGTTTGACAGCTATCGGAGTTATGCTCACTCAGGTGTTACGGTGACGGGTCCAGCGCATTGCAAAAGGCGCAGTGATTCCTTCCTGTCAGTACCGAAGAGACAACTTGTTCCGTGGGGCGCGCACTGCCATTCCTCAAGATTTAGATGGAGCGATTTCTCATGCTGAGCCCAGTCATACTTTGTCTTGAACTTGTCACAGCAGAAAGTGCAGCAGAATTTCCGATGGTCTGTATGCTGAGTCCGCCCTCGGCGTGTAGCCTTTCTAGCTCGACCGCTAGCCGTGCGGCCCTTCCGGACCTTGAACTCCCGAGAGGACGAGCGGGAGCGATTGGAATCCAGTAATGCTCTCGAGGACGCGCTTGATTCACCATTAGTTGTGGATGGTGGTGCGCGATACTGACGAAGGTTGCAGTCTGCATCCTCAGTGTTGACGCTGTCGGAATATACCGGATTAAACTGTTTGCCGGGCGCGCAGTTCAGCGCCTCCAAAATAGCAGAGATCGAGGCTGGCTCATCCTCAGGAGGAGACTCGCGCCATCTCTCCATGGGGTTCGCGGCTCGCGTATTGGGGACGAAGATTGGGAGAGTAGACTGATTTCCAGAGCATTGCAGAATGTACTGACTCTTGCGGCGCGGAAGCCCGCGACCACCACTCGTGGGAAGCTGGGGAGCATGGCTGGGGTTATTTAAAACTGAAGAAATTGCAGGATGGGACTCAGTCCCCGAATAATCAATCCATTGCAGTTGGACTTCCTAGGGCCTGCAGAGGCGCACTAATTGGCTGAGGTTCCGGGGTGTTGAGCCACACTGAAATGTCAATTTCAGACATCAGTCCATGCGTAGACACAATACTCTTAGATGCAGGATGGCTGTCCGGATCGTCACTGATCAGCGCGGGCAAGGAGGTTGATGAATGAGAAAAGTGGGCATTAAGACTTGACTGGTCGGGGTAGTGAAATTCCGACGTGAACAAAAGACAAGGCGAAAGTCTTTGGAGCAGACTCGGGTCGATCAATAGTCGGTTGTCTGTAGCTAAGAATATAAAAATTATACTCAGAGCTGGAAACATAATGTGCACACTTACCATCTGGACATAGCCCGCCACCAGCTGTTGTGAAAGGCGTCGGCATCATCCACTTCTGTGAAATCATTATGCGACATGGCGATCAAGATCTCCGTAAATTATAAATTATGAGCGATGTTTAAATCGGTTGTTAATTACACGTATTGCATAACAGCATGAACGTCGAGAAGAAGCAACGATAAGACCAAAATCAGGGGTGGCGCTAGAGAGGAGCCCTTTCTCGACAGCTGGAACGGAACATCATTATTTCGGGCATGGAAGGTGCCAGGCCTTGTCAGCAAAGACACACACATGCACTTTGGTCGGGGACTTGAGACTGGTTTTGTGGTTCTCCCGTGATCTGTGGTTCGGGGCGCCCAAAAGGGTGTGCTTGTCTCACCGCACTCTTCGGCCAGGTGTGGCGGAGCTCCTAGGATGAGGAGAGTAACAACAGTCTTGGCTTTCAGGAAAATATGATTGATTTCTGTTGTCTGAACTGAGATTAATTGTTCGAAAAAATGAAATTAGGTTCTATATCAAGACTATCTTCATGCCAAAATGTGATGCCCTTTTTTTTTTCTCTCTCTCTTTTTGTGAATTCCTGCTATTGCCTCTGTGCAAATAGGTGATGAGATCATGAATATACCCGCGGCTGCTTACGTTTACTTCCTGGTCCACTCCAGGTATGCGTAGCAGCCTTACTCCACGGAACATCAGGGGGTAATTATTTCTACTGAGTTTATTGCTTCATCATTTCTGACACATAGTTGTTTACATTTGTTCTTATACTCTGTTTACGAGGTTGCTCTTCTTGCCATAAAATATATATAAATATATATAAAAAAAACAAAAAAGATGACAACCTCATGTTATACTATATGCGCCTCCTGTGAGGCAAACAATCTATGGTGCGATGCGTCTTTCGGTGGGTTCCCATGTACGAGATGTCGTTTGATGAGAAGACAATGCTGTGCGCGTGGTAAAGTGCCTATTGGGTATGCTTGAATCTGCAGGTATGTGGTTAAGATTGGATAGAGCTAACTGTGAACCTATAGTTGTTCCCCTGAGAGCGTCACCAGTAAGAGTGTCAGCCCTGTGATGTTGGGAGGGCATTATGGCCTAACAGATGCAGTGGAAATCCAAGTTAAGAGTGAAAGTGAATACCTAAGGGGCATGGCCGAGAACTCTCAAGTGCACCTTACAAGACCCCTCGATAACCTCGTTACAGAGCTTCACGACTTTCTTGGGTTGGGGCATCCATCTCTTAGTTTTGTGCCGGTATTGCCACGATTTATTCGGAGCATGTCGGAAGATATCCAGGAAGAAGATATGGAATATCTGGAATTCAAGGGAGTTTTTCGTGTGCCAGACACGATTCTCCGGCATGAACTCCTCAAAGCCTTTGTCGAGAGCGTCTATCCATTTCTTCCCGTTTTGGATTTGGAATCTTTCCTTCTTCCGGTCATATCCAATGACGGGGTTCAGACCGTGAGCTTGCTCCTTTTTCACGCCGTTATGTTTTCAGCAACAGCGTTTGTTCAGCTAAAGCACCTCCACAACGCTGGATATGAGACCAGAAAGGAAGCACGCGAACAGTTCTATCTGAGGGCCCGAGTATGTTGAGCGCATGACTACCCTGGAAGCAGACACGGTCAGCAGGTGTTCTAATATGCGAGTGTAGACTTTCTACGACTTTGACATTGAGAAAGACCGAGTAGTACTTATTCAGGCCCTTCTGCTCATGACCTATTGGCACGAAACCCCGGACAATCCCAAGGACTCGCAATACTGGCTCAATGTTTGCTGGTCGCTTGGAGCTTCAATTGGCCTCGACTGCGACCCTTCGACGTCGCCCATGAACCCCCAACTCCAGAAGGTATGGAAACGCCTCTGGTGGTGCCTGTATACTCGCGATACGTTGCTTGCTCTGAATCTGCGACGACCATTGTGTTACGGAAATGATAAGAATAGGCTTCCTCTAATCAGCCTGGAAGAATTCAATATCGGTTGCCATTTACCGAAGATCATTATGGCGCTTGGCGATTGCGACTTTCTCCAAAATGTACATCTTCAGCGACATTTAGCGGTGGGCTTCATTGAGAAAGCAAAACTGTCAACGCTCATTTCTGACATATTATTTTTCCGCGATTATCAGGAGAAGAAGTGGCGTCAAACTTCGCGAGACTCGTGCAAAGATCGATGGAAGGAAGCGTTCCAGGGTTTAGAAGCCTGGTGCAAAGAGCTTCCTGTAGAACTTCAATATGAGCCGCTACGATCGGAAGATTTGGGTCATGCCACGAAGCTCCTCCATGTACAACGTGCGTGGATTCGGGTAATATTTCTCGCAACAATAGGAACCCTTCATCGAGAGGCCGGGAGTCCGCGATTTCAAGGCTTGAGCTTACCGAGAGCGCAGTATGGCCAGGTTATATGCGAGATGTCATCGATCTTGCAGGATCTGAATCAACTTGGGCTTGTCCAATATCTCCCAACCACCACGGTTGCACTGCTCGTTCCGGTCCTAGCAAGGCTGGTGCTTGACTTCAAGGCCAACACCGGCTGCATGGGAATCGAAACTTTTGAACGATTCTATCAAGGTATGCAAGTACTGGGGACGCTTGGCGACGTTTACTCCTCTGCGGTGACTGTACGGCGTTTCTTTGAGGGAACTCTCCACGGTGGAAAGCAGGGTTCCAGTTATGTCTCCATGCCGTCAGCCATTCGGAACCTGCTTACAAAGAAGGAACAAGATGCATTCGCTACAAGTGAACTCACTGGAGTGCGAGGAAACATCTGATGTCCATGTGAGGATATATGTAGAGATTGACTTAGGGAGCTATACGTTGACTAGAAACGTATATTTCAACCGACGTTGATTGTGGTGGGCCGAATGTATAATGAATAGAGCCATAATGATCCATAACAATCGCTTAGTGCTGAAGCCAACGGAAAAGATATAAGGATAAGTATACATTAGAAGTTATCTAAATTCATATCTTTGCCATATTTACCTTAAGGCTGAAGGTAGGACCATTCATCGACAACTGATGGTAGAAAGCATGGCATCAGTAAGGAGTCGTCTGCGGAATGTGCAAGCCCTCCTTGCATAACTGTTTCCCAGTTGGAACCGAAAATATAATTGTTCAACAAGCCACTGTCCTCCTGTGGGAGGAAGTCTGCGGGAATATCGGTGTGAAGTGTAGTGGTGTTTGCTTGCCCTTGACAAGGTGACGGGCTAGCATTTCTCAGTGAGTTGTCCTGTTGTCTCATGTTGAGGAAATCAAAGATCTCGATTGCCCATTCACCAGGTTCCCAGAATTCCTTGACTTCGTTGAGGACAACACGGCAATTGTCCAAACTTGCGCGTGCCATCTGAGCCACCACTGGGTCATTCTGCTGCGTTTGCCGGTAATGGATGATACCAGCGACGAAGAATCCCGGAAATACCTCATGAGGGAGGTAAGACAAGCGGGCCTTGGTCATAAGGGTGATCGCCTTGGATGCAATGGCTCTGGCTGTTGATTCAACCAGTTCCTGGGAGGGACGCTCGGAGCCCGGTTGCCGATAGAACATTTGCTGCCGAGATACATCAGGTTTGTCGATATATAGAAGCAAGAGATAATAATTGTAAATTACCTCCAGCGCAGTTGACCACGTCAAGGAAGGAGATCCACCTGGCCACTGTTGGAGCGAGACCTCCAGGTCAGCTCGCCACGCCTCGATTTGTGCGTGGACGACCTGTGGGTAGAGCTTCCGGTCTCCAGAGCGGCAATGGGTAATGTCCCGCAGGATTGGAGACAGACGTGCCATCTGAATTTGGTAGAAGGCTTCATCGTGGCTCTCGTAGATAAAATCATCCGGCGTCAGCATCTCCGCGTCAGAATGGGGAAGATCGATACGAAAAGGGCGCCCGAGTAAGACGGCACAGTAGGTATCTCGCACTACCAATGTCCACCAGAGTCTCCTCAGTAGACCTGTATCACCGCCGGGTGCATTTGATGAGGCTGTAGAACGATGGAGACCTAGCGAGACAGCAAATGTCACCCCAAAGCCGACCCAGGAGCATGGATTCCAATAACTCTGCATTTGAGGGCCCCGAAAGCTCAGCATAATAGCCACCTGAAGCAAAATAATCTTGTTGGCCTCATAACTAGCATCAAATAGCAGCTTTGCTTTCTGATAGAAGTGGCGGCGGGCATCGCTTCGAGACAGAAACCCAGCGGAATGCAGTATGTATGGTTCACAAAAAGTTGCTCCGATGAAGCAAACAGCATGAAGAAGAATCCATGGGAGCTTGTGCTCCTTATGGACCTTTTCAAGCTCAACCTTGTTCACTATGGAGTAGAGAGGATGGAAACGTGACAGGTAAACTGCAACCAAATCATCCAGTGTCTTTTCCGATGGGGGGGTAAACGCCCCCTTGGCCTTCAGATACGTGATATCGGCTTCATCCAGATGTTGTGGGTGAACATCCTTTTGAATGACCTCCAGATTGGAGCTATTGCATATCTGGCCACTTGCATCATGAAGCTGAGGGCCAGAGCCCTGCGGGAGCTCTTCCAGGGCAAACGTCAATGGGGACGGTTCTCCAAGAAGAATCAGCCCCAGTCTTCCTTTAATCTTTCTGTCTCTCCACCTCAAAAATTCCTCAAACATAGCCGACTTTGAGCGCCCAATGGAACCAGTCGACGAGCCAGCTATTGATTGCCGGGAGCTCCCAGATTCCAAGGGGGAAGGCGTCGTTTCCAGAGGAGCTTCGACTGTGGATCGGCTGCCTTCAGAATATTTTCTTCTAGCTGCCGCATTACCCTGTGCACTTGGACATGATGGATCAGGGACTCCGGCAGATGACGATTGCAGTTGTCGTTTCAATCGCAGGTCACGCGCTACGTTTCTATCATAGGTGCCTCTTCGTGACAGAGTCAGCGTGCAATCATCTGTATTGTCCATCCGACATCGACTGCATGGTAGTCCATTCTGTACCGCATCGCACTTGATTTTGCGCTGGCTGCATCGTCTGCATGCCTTGGCTGCACGGAGTCGTGATTTTTCGGGCTTGGCTGTATGGGAAGCGGTGTTGGTGTTAGCATTTGTTGACATGGCAGTGTCTGAGAAGGAATGGAGGGCGAAGAGTGAAAAGGCACAAGGCGGAGTGGAGAGCGCATCGCAGAAAGAGCACCCACAGAATTACCCCCTTCCTTTTTGTGGGGAAGAGAAATTCTTAATATTGCAACTTTTGTGCGGGGTATGTGTGATCCACCATGGATTAGTTGATATAGTAAACTGGGGCATCTGGGGTAAACAGATTGAGTGGCTCAGTAGAAGCCAATTAAATCACAACGGTTACAAGATTTTGGGGAATAGATTGTCATGGGTGGGCATTGTGAAAGCCAAAGAGGATTGCAAAGATTGGATGATATTGGTGGCAAAGGCACATATAGCCGTGGTAACATGCAAGCCCACGTCTACTAGGTAAGACCTCGTAGTTGGTCTTAACTCAAAACAAACGCCCAATATAGTCTCAGATGAGCCATGTACATTGCTATCGAAGTATTCACAATAGAATTCACACTTCAAACAAGGCTAAAGCCCTTATACCCCTGTTGCACAATCTTCTGTAGGGCTTGTCTGTACATCGCCAGCCCCCCAAAGTAAAACAGCACTGAAGGTTTCTTGCCAGCCACATTCGCCCCAAAGATCCACGAGTCGGTTTTCCGAAATAGACTGTCGGCGCTGAGCTCGTCGCACTTTTGAATCCAGTCTCGTAATGCTGCTGCATCTGCCTCCACACGCGGGCCGTTTGTTGCCGGTTCAGCAGCCGCCACTTTTCTCGCGTGAGAGACCATGTCGGAAATGAATTCCACCTGGACCTCAATCAAGGGCGGCAAATTGGTAAACGGACTGTTAGGACCGAGGATGGAGAATAGATTAGGAAATCCAGGGATCGAGACCCCCAAAAATGAACTGGGCTCCTCCTTCCACCGATCCTTTAGGGTATCCTGTGAGGCGCCCTGGATACACATCCGCTTGTAGTTACCATCTACCGCATCAAAGCCGGTTGCAAAGATTAGGACATCAAGCTCGTACTCTGATCCTTCGGCCGTTTGTATTCCTTTGTCTGTTATCTTGGTGATCGGATTGGTCTTGATATCGACGACGTCCACGTTCGGACGGTTGAACTTCTCGTAGTAGCCAGTACCACACAACGGCCGCCTGGCATACCAATCATATGGCATGAGCTTTTCTGCCTTGACAGGATCCTTCACTTCTTGGCGGATCTTCCGGCGGATAAACTCCGCAGCGGCCTTGTTCGCTTCTTCGTTGTAGGAAATATCGCAAAATGTGCCGAACATGAAATAAAATCCACCCCCTTTGGCCCAAGCCTCCTCAAAGATCCTTTCGCGCTCTTCTTCGCTGACACTGAAGGTGGGCTTTGAACTTTCCTTAAAGCCAAACCCAAAAGTGCTGTGCTTTACCTCCCTCCAGACTTGCTCCCAGCGCTTATCAAGGTCTTCTCGAGTGGCAGGAGGCACTTCCGCGTCGCCCGCTGGAACGACATACTGCGGATGCCGCTGAAATGAGTGCAGCTGTTTGACATCTTGATCGGCCAATGCAGTGATTAGTTGAACTCCCGTGGATCCGTTTCCAATAACTCCAACCCGCTTTCCCGTGAAGTCATAAGACGAGGGCCAGTTGCCGGTGTGGTGCATTTCGCCCTTGAATGAATTCAGTCCAGGGATGTCGGGATAATTGATTTTGGATAAAAGCCCAACTGCCGTAATAAGATATCGAGCTCTTAATTGCTGGCCGGATGACAGCGAAACAGTCCACAAGTTCTGGTCGGTATCGTAAGAGGCGCCTTGCATTTCGGTATTGAATTGCATGTATTGTCGCAGATCATGCCGCTCAACAACATGGTTCAAGTAGGCAAGGATTTCTCGCTGTGTCAAATACTCTCTTTTCCAAGGGTACTGGCGGAGGTCTTCAAGGTCCCACGAGTATCGATACAGAAACGACCGCGTGCTAGTCGAATGAGCTTCTTTCTAACGGACAACCTCGCGTGTGATGAGCCTAACTCACTCTGACAATGCACCAGGGTAGCGATTCCAATACCATGTTCCTCCCACATCGGGCGCAGCTTCAATGACTTTGACAGACAGCCCCTGGGCGACAAGCTTCTTGCACATGTAGATACCGCCGAAGCCAGCGCCAATGACAATCGCGTCGAAGTCGGGTTGAGTTAGCATTTTTGCAGGCATTTTTGTGTTTGGCTGTGGCTGTAGCTGAGGAATAGTGAATGATCAAGATGGATTGTCTTTTCTCCGAGTGTGCAAGCCCATCTTTATCTGGAACTGTATACGGTACTGCACATCGAGCGGGGCAGCCCTTTGGTATCAGCAGCTGAACCTTTCACCCCCGCTATCCATATTACCCCCACGGTGCTGGCCGGGGTAACTATGCAGCCGTGGGGACACTGGGGTTGCAGAGATAGAAGCGGGGGAAGTAATGAGGATGCAGCCGTGGCAGTCTTGCGTATACGCCCGGCAAATGGATGATTTAACCTAATTTGCCGCTCAATAGAAAGGATCTGCAGGATGATTTCACTTGGATTCCGCGATGGAATTCTTACTCACGTTGACCGCATGACCAATCCAGACAAGGGTTGGCTGAAAGGTTGGCAAGATGATAGTCCTATGTTCGAGATTCTTTGTTCATCGTAGAAGAAAATCCGCAGCTCTGTACACCCTTGAGATAACTACTCGGCGTTATATTTGATTACTAATTAGACCTTTCTAG